TATATTTATACATATACGTGTAAGTATATATATTTATGTACGTATTAAATTATGTATGTATGTACGTATTTATGCATGATATATATATGGATGGATGGATGTATGTATGGATCTATTTACTAATGTACATATGTATGAAAGTATTTATCTATTATGTATGGACATATATATATATATATATATATATGCATTTATATATATATATATGATAAAAAATATTTGTACTAGTGCACCATGTGTACAGTAATAAATGTTCGACGTTACTTGGACATCTTCTTTCGAGTGCTGTCACGTTCAAGCACACTCGACTGTTGGCAGAATCATCGATTCCGATGTGCATATGAGTAGTGGACCTCGAGTAAATCTTGAAGGCACAATAAAAGCATTGGTTTACTTGCTACGCTAAAGATTCTCTGTAATAAGATAGTTTACTGGATGTATTACATTTGATTTGATTCAAACGGCTGTTTAGGTACAATGACATACAAGGATGAACATACTGTCTATGGTAGTTCCTTATCCTGTTTTCGCATGTCTCATGCCACACTACACTTCCACACAGGCCAACTCCATCCAGCTTTGGCACAAGCAACGTCACACAAACAAGCGAGGCAGAGAGTCTGAACCAACCGGAAAGACAGACAACCACAGTACACACCACACACTGACTCAGATTGAAGTTCTGGGGCTGGAAAGTACGCATGTGAATGACGTGGCTATCCGACAATGCGACAGCGGGCGAAAGGCTTTACTATACACCGCTGGTAGCGACGGCTGTGTGCAGTGTGTGACGTATGATTCTGAGGTAATTTCAATTGCAGGCTATTTGTGTAGTGTGATTCACTTGTATGCATGAGGTGTTAGGTGCCGTCGTGGGCAGTTCGGTATTCCTATATCGATTAGCTGCTGCGCTGATCTTCAGTTGAGTATGGACAGTTTGGTTGGAAATCTATATTTAATCAATATTCATGTACACAGATGGCCGCAAGTAGATTTGCTATATGTATGGAAGGTACATGCGAGGGTTGTGTATTTGGTACATTTTGAAATATAACTGGGTTTATGATGTATCTAGACGTACACTATATTATTATTATATATATATATATATATGTATATGTATATATATATATATATATATATGTATATATGTGTGTGTGTGTATATATATATATATGTATATATATATATGTATGTATGTATATGTATATATGTATATATATATATATGTATATATATATATATATATATTTATATGCGTGTGTATATATATATATATAAATATATATATATACTCGTATCACTGTTATTGGTGTGAGTGTCAATGTTTACTGTTGTTCTTCCAGTAGGGCCCGCGGGCGTCTGTATGACTGTTTAGGTTGCTTTCAGTATAGATTTTTATTTTATATTGGCACTACATTTGCGTGTTTATACCAATGAGCAGGGGAAAGGACCTCAGGAAATACAATAGGAATAATTTGAGGATTGCCTCTTAACTCTTCAATCGATGAACTCAACTCTCTACGATTTTGCATATATCCTTTCTCGCGTCACCAGAAGCAAAAATCAGGTCACACCAGCATGACCTCCGTAGCCGTGGCGCTGGGCCCTCTCTGTCCTGCCCCGTCCGACTGCAGAGGTTCGGTACTGCACCACTCGAGGCAAAGTGGGGCACTCACACAGATCAAACTGTCAGCTGTGGACAAGCGCAAGTGTGTGAGTGTGCTGGAGGGACGGTTGGTGTGCTTTGACTGGGATGAAGAAGGCACGCGACCGCTCAATGTGCGTGGCATGGGGATGGAGTCGGATCCCATATCTGCGGTAAGTAAGAATATAAAGAACGTAGCTGAGAGTATATAGAACGTAGCTTGTGAGTTATAGAACGTAGCTTAAGAGTATAGGGTACGTAGCTTGAGAGTTATAGAATGTAGCTTAAGAGTATATAGAACGTAGCTTAAAAGTATATACAATGTAGCTTAAGAGTATAAAGAACGTAGCTGAGAGTATATAGAACGTAGCTTATGAGTTATAGAACATAGCTTAAGAGTATAGGGTATGTAGCTTGAGAGTTATAGAATGTAGCTTAAGAGTATATAGAACGTAGCTTAAAATTATATATAATGTAGCTTAAGAGTATAAAAAACGTAGCTGAGAGTATATAGAACGTAGCTTATGAGTTATAGAACGTAGCTTAAGAGTATAGGGTACGTAGCTTGAGAGTTATAGAATGTAGCTTAAGAGTATATAGAACGTAGCTTAAAAGTATATATAATGTAGCTGAGAGTATATAGAACGTAGCTTATGAGTTATAGAACGTAGCTTAAGAGTATAGGGTACGTAGCTTGAGAGTTATAGAATGTAGCTTAAGAGTATATAGAACGTAGCTTAAAAGTATATATAATGTAGCTTAAGAGTATAAAGAACGTAGCTTAAGAGTATATAGAACGTAGCGTAAGAGTATAACGTAGCGTAAGAGAATATATAACGTAGCTTAAGAGTATATATAACGTAGCTTAAGAGTATATAGAACGTAGCTTACGAGTATATATAACGTAGCTTAAGAGTATATAGTACGTAGCTTAAGAGAGTATATATAACGTAGCTAAGAGTATATAGAACATAGCTAAGAGAATATAGAACGTAGCTAAGAGTATATAGAACGTAGTTAAGAGTATATAGAACGTAGCCTTAGAGTATATAGAACGTAGCTTAAAAGTATATAGAACGTATCCTAAGAGTATATAGAACGTAGCTTAAAAGTATATAGAACGTATCCTAAGAGTATATAGAACGTAGCCTAAGAGTGTGTATAGCGGCTCTGGCTCCTAGTCTTTGCGGTACGTAATTGGAGGCAACTGGTGAATTGTATCGATTTGATGCCTGTGCTGGGTGTGAGTATGATAGTCGGGATGAAGATATCGATCATGAAGAAATCCGACGACTGGGCTGATTTTCTTCAGTATACAAACTGTGACTAGAGTACCCTAAAGTATTGACTGTAACATTTGGGTGTGTACTTTTGCAACCTGCTATTGGAATGATTGTAAACTAACTTTATGGTTTAACTTACAGACGCACTGGTACAACCGTGACTGCGTACTTGCAGCGGGCCAAGCCACGGAGTTGAGCCTGTGGGATACCCGTGGCAAGCATCTGCGTGCCATGGACTGTTCCGATGTCAGGTAATCGATATTAAATATATATATGTATATATATATATATATATATAAATATGTATATATATATATATATATATATATATATATATATATATATATATATATATATATATATATATATATATATATATATATATTATGTATATGTATATGTATATGTATGTATATATATATATATATTATATATATATGTATGTATGTATATGTATATGTATATGCGCACACACAAACCACGTACATACATAAATACACAAATAGGTTATATATATAGTTGAACCTTAGCAGCACACGATCGCATCAATCATCTGCACATATGTTCACTTACCTTTGCTAGTTCCGATTTTCTCGGCTCAAAGATTCACTGTATTGCCGCCTGTGAAAGGGTCCTTTACTCAGGCGATCGTGTGTCTGGATGTCATATTGATGGCATTGGTGCACGTATCCAAGTGATTCCACAGTTCCCCTCGCCACACATCTATGACTCATACGGTTCACCCTCCGCTCTATTACTGCCACTAGTACTGACGAACTTGGCAGACGGATACAGTGCATCACCACCTGTGGCTCTGCTGCGGATACTAGTATCTACACCGGCGACAGTAGCGGTCGTGTGGTGCTGTGGGATGTGCGGAAAGCGGGACGTCCCGTTATTACCCGTCAGATGGAGTTGGGGTCGATGCTCCGAGCCGGGCGAGGGGGTGTGCGTACACTGAATATACACTCGAGACGTAGTAAGCAGTCGATGATCGCGTGTGTGGGGAAGGCCTTGGTGTTATTAGATCTCAGGGATGGCTTGGTATGTGCAAGTGTGGGAGGACTTGTATAATCTATAGTGCTGAAGTTGCTGTGTAGCCCAGATAGTCACTGCTGTATGGAGATGGACTTGGGGGTTCGTGGGATCTCTATGATGGGTCTGTTTTGTAGACCAATATATATTCCTTTAGTAACGTGGGATTTACGTAGGTGGATATATATGTCCGTGCCCTGCAATGACATATAGATCTACCTGTGTTGAGTGTCTAGTTGTGGACTTTGGGTTTGCACTCACACAAAGCTTAACGATTGTTGCTTCATTTTATTTTATTTTTAATTCGCAGCTGTCGGAAGAGATTGAACCGATAACGATACACCGGGATGTGTTACCTGTCAATACCGTTGACGTCCATGGAGATGTGGCGGTATGTATCTTGACCATGGTCACAACTATACTACTCTAAGAAGCGATATATATTGTGCATACAAATGCTTTCCTATATTACGCACCAATCCGTTGATGTATTGTTATATATTTAGTACTTTAATATAAGTTCATATACTCAATTGTGTATGCTTACCCCAGCAATGCACGACCATTATCTGTGCTTGTTGGCACGTGTGTATGTCCACCGCACAAACGATGCTGAGTTGACGTACCTGGCAATGGTATTGACTGAGTGGCCAATTATTTTCAGGCTAATATCCAGGGTTAGCTTCAACACTGGGAGGCTTTCGAGGAAATATTTCAACAGTCGAAGTTACAAATCCGAACAATCCAAACATACGCTTACATACTTATATACATACATAAATATATACAGACGTAAATATATACATATAAATATATTCATACATGAAACTACGTAGATGTACCTGCTCACGTGAGTCGGCGCAGACACCGCTTCTGACCACATTGTATATCCCGTACCAATGGTTTGGGGCGACATTCTGCTCATACCTTAAGCCTAATGTCACTCTCATACCGCTACAGGTTTGGGGATCGGATTCTGGAGTGCTCGGAACGTACAGTATGCTATAGCAGAGGTCTCTGCAGTATGCTATAGCAGAGGTTTCTATAGTATGCTATAGCAGAGGTCTCTACAGTATGCTATAGCAGAGGTCTCTACAATATGCTATAGCAGAGGTCTCTACAGTATACTATAGCAGAGGTCTCTACAGTATGCTATAGCAGAGGTCTCTCACACAGCCCCGTCCATGTGAGCGAAGACTTGTATGGGATGTGGTATCCTACAACAATGTCTGCTGCACTTCGGCAACGAGGCCAAGCAAGTGCTAAAACTTGTTGGGACCGGGGAGCTTTGTCTACCGGCGGAGGACTTTGTCGGTAGACCTATGGGGAAAGCGGTGATCTACAAGTATCTCTGCCCCAAGGTCAACACTCTTAACGGTACAAAAGTATACCAAGACTTAATGGGAAACCGGAATGGTAGGGCTATCTCTGCAAAAAGCTCTATCACTGATAACGGCACCAAAGTTTACTCAGACTTCAAGCAAAGCAGGATGATAGTTCTGCCACAAGCTGAACACTCAGAGCGTTCTTGGATCGGAAAACGGTGCGGGAGACCTCTCAGACAAAGATGGCGGTGTTACTCGACTGGCTCTGTCTCAAGCTCAACACTCGATAAGGCATAAGCAAGTGCTATGGCAGGGTATTAGCAAGTGCTATGGCAGGGTATTAGCAAGTGCTATGGCAGGGTTTTAGCAAGTGCTATGGCAGGGTTTTAGCAAGTGCTATGGCAGGGTTTTAGCAAGT